AAATGGGGTTAAAAGGTCAAATCGATGGAGTTTGCTCATACCAAGAAATATCTTCTTTCGGTAACGGAAAATGAAGAAATATAAAAAATGATCAAATAAATTTGTTGGCTATATCGAACCATCTGATTCTACGAAAAATTTTTCATCTTTTATTCATAAGCGTATTTATAGTTACTTTAAGTCAATCAAAATAGTTACCCATATGATTTGATTTTAATTGTTTGATTTCACTAAACGTATTTACTTTTGTCTCGTAATCGAATGAGAGGGCTAAATTTTTAATGAATAATCGATATCACTCATATGATGTGAATTCAAAACGCCTCTCATTTAAACTGTCAATTTCAACGTTTCACAAAAAGAGTTTACACCAGGATTTGATTGCTGAGATTTGATTACCACAATAGAAGTGTCAAATATTAGACATATACATTAACAATTCTCGTTTTATTGATCAAACGCAAGGGCTTGAACTCAATCTTTTGTAATAACTTTTGCTGATATCGCGATGAGGAAAAATGCAGAAATGTATCTTTGGATTCAATCGTATATGATAAGTTTTAATATTTTAAATAGTTATTCTGTACTAAGTCGTCTCTTTATTCGAAAATATCTGGAATGGATGACCAAATGATTAAACTAATGAAACAGATTTCTGACAGATTCACAAATTCGTGACGCACCAAGTTCAATCAATTCGCGGACGAAATTCTTTTTCTCTTTTTTATTTGGAACTCAATCAATTTAAAAATTTACGATTAACCGACTGGACATGGACATTCACGCAATCACAGAGGCACATACAAAAAAGAGAATATCTCTATTGACCAGATGCCCACCTTCGAGTGTTTCGAAGAGAATGAAATACATAGTAAATGCATCATCATTACGACGGCAGAAATTTCACGGCATTCCATGGACAAAACGAAAGAGATACAATGAATGGGAAGCGGTACACAACCGAGGAAAAGAAGGAAAAAAAACAGAATGGAAAAAAAAAATAGCAAATTGACTAAATGATAATCAAAAAGATATGAAACCGATGTAGCATTCTGTGTGACATACACACCCTTTTCAGTGTGATGTTTGCTCGTTGCGTTCAGGGTGGTGGTTTGGTGTGTTTGTGTGCCTTTTATCATGTCGCTTTTGTGAATGTGTCCTAAAAACGCAAAGTAGACGGCGACAACGATAAACTTTAAGTGGAAAAAGTTTAATAAATTACCTGAATTTAGATTCAGAAGATTAAACGTAATGTAATGTATCGGTGCCGTTATTTGACATGACATACCTAACCTTCTGCAATATCTTCCTACGTTTCGCTTTCGTTCTTTTATATCATTTTTTTCGGTGTGTATCCTTCTTTTTTTTCCAGCTTTTTGTATGTGTATATGTCATTTTGTATTGCTCGTTCATTATGGCGTTTTTGTTAGTGTTCCGTTTCGCTAATGCCGCCACAGTGCCGAACGGAACGAGTGACGTTTCTTGACGCTAATATTGTTGTCTTATTTTCTTGTTTTTTTTTTTTATTAGTCGTCTCTCATTTACGTGATGGTTGCTCTCTCTTTTTTTTCTCTTGTTTTTTTTTTTTCATTTTCATTTTATGCTCAACCCACTGCTCCTTCGCACACACACTCGAACTATCTCTGTGATTTTCGAACATCAATTTTATTACATTCATCCAAACAATCACAGAACTGATTCGCATTTCCATGCAACAAAACACCCTTCAAGTACATTCCTATTATGGGGTGCTTGAGCCCGCGAATTCCAATGTGAACATCTTTCGCTGCTTTAATTCGCATAATGTGGCGGGAGAAACTTGAACAGCCACTCTCAACTGGGAGTGAGAGAGAGAAAGAGATAGAGAGAAAGGAAGAAAAAAAAAAAGAACTGGCGCAAAAGCCGAGTGATATGTGGTGCTTCAAATTTCAAGTATGTTTACGTTTTTATTCATTATTCACATTGCATGTCATATGTGGAAAATTGGATTTATTTTTCCACATGCATAAATTTTATTTCACATTGTTCTTGACAATCTATATTATTGGCGCTGTGCTATACTGCCGCGCTCGCTCACTTCTTTCACATTTGCTGCTCTTTTCAGGCTTGATTTTTTTTACTGTGTATTTTTTTAATGTTTTTTTTTCCCTTTGCTTCATTCTATTCACCTTTGCCATTTCATTCATTCGTATCTAATTCATTATGCTCTCTTGAGCCATGTTTGGCTCTAGGTTCTCTTTTCACTTGACAACTTTCCATTCTCTCGGTAAGTGTAACAGCACACGTTGACGCTATTATTATGTACATGAAATACAATCTAAATAAATTCACTACTGGAATTAATCTTCTTGAAACACAAAAAAAAAAAAAAAGAAATGTGTTCGCATTTATTCAGTTTTGTTTTACCTTTATTATTTCATCGTTATTAGATTTTTTTGATTACATTTAATAAAAATGTAATAACAGAAAAACGTGGTTTCGCCGTGTTTTTTTTTTTCGTCTCCTGATTCAATTCGTTTGTGCGGCGCTATTTTTTTCATTTTCATTTGGCTTCTTGTTCGTTTTCTCGCTTCGTTCCCTTTTTTGTTTCTAATTAATTGCATTCATTCCATCCACTCAGTTTTCGTCTAATATACGATTTGTTTGTTTTTTTCTATTCGGCCCCAAATTCGAGAACGCTTCACTCAATACCGTGAATGAAAAGAGCGAGAGAATGAATGGTTTGTGCGAAACCACTAAAAACTAAATCAAATACACACGCGAACATAAAATCACTGCCCGCCGAAAAAAAAAAAATGATTTATTCAGTTGATATAATGTGGTTATGTTTATTTGCAACAACTGACATTTAACGTTGTGCGAATGCCGAGCACACACATACACATACACCGTCTACCTTTTTGGGTGCGAGCACGAAACACAAATGCTGCCATTTAGACCAAGGGCAGCACCTCCATGATCAACATCATCGTCGTCGTCATCATCACAAACAATATCTATCTATTTTGATGTGAATGTATACCGACCACTTTCGATAGCAGTAGTTTTTTTTTTTTTTTGTTCATTTGTACCACTTCTCTTCGCGTTCGACCTTTTCCTCCCATTCAACTATATCCTAGTTTTGCTAACCGACTTGTACAAGATAAATCATTTTTTTACCCATTTTTTTTGCACTTTTAAGGGTACCATTTATCACTACTCGGTATTATGAAGAGCAAGAGGCATAAAGAGGCTCACTATCACAAGAAGTGATTCCAGTTTTGTTGGGCCCACTTCCGAAAATTCCCTAATAAGTTGCTCCATATATGATGAAACGAAACCAAATGAACGTGGAAAGAAATGCGCTCTGGATTTTCGACAAATGTGTATCATTTACATAATTCATTGCGAGCGAGCGAGTGGTTTGTATGTGCGTTGTTTTTTTCTTCATCATCTTCATCTTTTTTGTTTGCTCTCGCAGTCATGAAATGCGTGTTTGATGCCAGTTTCAATCAAAACGAATTAGTGTGGCGATAATTTTCATAGAAGATGAAAACCGACACGTTCCATAAACATATGATAAACCACATAGTGTATATATATATATATGCGCGCATAGTTCCTTTCTGAATCATGTGATGATCTCTCATGGATAGGAAGCAATTAAATGTTATCGCTTCAATCAAAGAAATGAATGTGATATTGCAATATAAATAATTTATTTTCATTCCGTTTTCGAATGATATATTTGAATGGATTAGGACTATGGCCGGGAGCCTGGACGAATGAATTAATGTATTTGCAAGCGTAAGCAAATCATTGTGAATGTGAAGTTCACACATGTTAACGAGATAAAATTGTGTCGAAATTCATATATATAAATTGTCTATGAAAACGATTTTGTTCGCAAGGAGATGAAATTCAATGTGTACCAACAGACACGTGTCACTTGAAAACAATCAATCATATCAAGCACCGGTTTTAGCCCCGACAATATTCACCCACACACACACAAAGAGAGACACATGCACTCACTCGTCCACCAGCACTTCCTCACTCACATGCATAAGCACACACAGGAAGATTGAGTGCGAAAGATAGATAGATAGATAGATAGAGAGAGATAGAGAGAGAGAGAGAGAGGGGGAGACACACACAATCCACCACAATATTACCAATAAAAATTTCAATAAATCTTTCATGGACGTGCGTTCGATCAGATTGATGCTGATAAAACAATGCCAGAGCCAAAGTAACGCATACTATTTATGGGCTCATTTCCAACATTACGACCAACTGCATTCACATTTTATGCGCCCGAATATATGCATGGTTATTCGGTCGATTTTAGTTTCTGCCTCAAGCTTTCCGCATACACACACTATCTGATACCAATTGCAAATACCCATATTACTCTTGTCTTGTGTTTTCTCTCACTCTCTTCAAAGTGCTTGTCGCTTTCAAAACACTGTCATCATAACGACCATCACACGCACATTCATCACATCACACCGCACAACATCGATCGTGATAACAAATCAAGTAGAGTTCGAAAGACCCATCGCCCAAATTTCAATTTGCAGCTACTGAAGTTTAACAAATAGAAGTTTATTTATCGTTCCCCTTCTCAAACAACACAAAAAAAAAATATCAACAATAATTTCAGTCAATATTTATTTTAATCTTTCAACGATGCCAATGTAACGATTGGCTGCATACAGTACGAGTGAAGAAAAAAAAAGTGAGCAAGATGAAGCGATTCAACATATATATTGATCTGTTTTTCTTTTACATTTTTTTTTTTGCAAAAAAGCGCCAACAATGCATTCGGCAAACACAACATTCAACAGACGTGAAAAAAAATACACAAATTATCGTCACGGAAAATATTTTTGCAAAATTTTGAATTCGTTTGAGTTATCAATTGATCGAATCGAAGTGTGTTTCGCAGTATAAGATTAGTGTGTGTGAGAGAGAGAAAGGCATGAATGTGATGGTTTACAAAGGATGTTTTTACTTACATAATCAAACTTAAAAAAATTTCATCCAATAAACATTTGCGTGAAGTGGATGAAGATGATGCCCACAAAACGATTTTATCTGCTTTCTTTACAATTCAATTTTCCCACTCTATATCGACCGGCAGAGTGAAAAAAAAACAATTGGTTTACTTTATATATGTATAAAATGCTTCCTTTCCTTCTTCTTCACTCTTCTGTATTTGTTGCCTTTTTACCGCAAACTTGTGTGTTTATCTAGTATGAAAAATCGCTTGAAATTGTTACAAAGGACTTCCTTCCTTCGTTTTGCTTTTCATTCGTTTATTTTCTCCGAGTTTTTTTTTTCTTCTTCTTCTTATTTCAATACCGCAGTCACAGCACAAACACATACACCAAAAAAAAAAAAGTATCACCGTTTACGCGATTGCCATACAATCAACTCAATATACGCTACAACAATTTGTTTACATTCGACATGTTTTTGTGAGTGAACAGTTTTAAAACCTAACGGTGCCTGTATGAACTACCCGGAAATCTTAACACTTTGCTTGCTTGAATAAAACAAAAAAATAACGCAAACGAACGATATTTTTATAAATTTCGGAATGTCTGTATTTTGTACTTTTTGTTCAACAACGAGAAAAAAAAAACATTTGTCACACGGCCACTTGTTTTTTCCTTGGTCTTGTTTTGTTTATTCTTTTATTTTATTTTATTTTATTTTTTCCTACTTCTCACATCCTCTCTTTGAAATATCTAGTCACTGGCACACTCAGTGTTTATATCTCACTGTATGTTTTTCTGTTTACTTATTTCGTTTGTTTTCTTCTTCTTCTTTTTCTTTCGTTTATTTTATTGCCGTTTTTCACATCGGATGATGATATTTTATTTTCTGTATTTGCGTAAGTAAGTTTTAGCACGAAATAAAGCGACTTGGTGGCGGTGGTGGTGTCTTTTCTTGAAGTCTGTTTGTTCACACAAAAGTATGCGCGCGAGCGAAATCACATGCACCGATGGACAATCGTTGTCAAAGTAACGATTTTCTGCATTTATTATTCATTGAAAATATAATGACCGTAAAATGTGAGAATTGATCGTTGATGTGCATTCCAGTTAGTGGCGTGTTTTATTTTTGTCTTCCTTTCTTGTCGAGATATATATGATGAAACCATCAAGATTGACTGTGTGCTAACATCACTTTGACCAAAACGGGTAAAAAAAAATAAAATCAAACCAAACCGAGTGGAATTACTGTGCACGGGTGCTTTATACTGCGCTACCAAATGGCATTCACTTGCCGTTCAGAGACTTGCTACGTAAAAATTGGGTGTTTTTATAATGTGTGATTTGCCGAGAGATCAGAAATACGTCTGTCAACCGGTAAACTTCACAGTGAACTGATTCCAAATGTTATCCAACATCGTCTATTGAATGGATCCGTTCGATGCTTTGCGTGCTGCTGCTGCATGTTACGTTCACTCCGCGCTCCAAATGAGAATAACGAAAAAGCTCTCTGAAGCGCATGCACCATTTTTGAAACGACGACGACGGTGGCGGTAACAACGTACGAATTGTAATTGAATGACTATAGTAATGTGAGTATGTTTCCACATCGAAGAAGAAGCAAAAAAAAAAAAAAACAAGCCGTCTAAACTGTTGGAATTATTATGTTTAGCATACAGCGTTTGAAATAGGTTTAAATCAGCTTTCTGGTCATGATGAGCGAATTCGAACAGCTTCTGGCTTGAATTATTGTCGGACAACACCCGAACAATATACATGGAATATGATTGCCAGTCGTAAGAATCAAATTGGACGTTTGCAGTTTCGGCCAATTTCATCTAATTTGCAACAATCGAAAACTTGGTCAAAGTAACTAAAAGGCACCATAGCCACGAACTAGGGCAAAAGATTGCTGCTGAACATTCGAAAAAACAACCAAAGAGAGAAAGAAAGAGAGAAAGAAAGAGAGAGAGAGAGAGAGAGAGAGAGAGAGAGAGAGAGAGAGAGAGAGGGAGAAAGAGACTCACATACATTTCATTTTCACTGAAAAGAAGAAACGAAATTGAACAATGAACACAGTAAGATCACAAAGCTTCATACAGCAAACATACGTTGGATGCACGAGATGGTTATGGGTTGAAATGTGTATCTGCTGAATGCTAAAGATCCTGAAAATCAACGACCACGACATACACTTAAAAAAAAAAAGTGGATGTATGTATAGTGTGGCTGTACATACTGCACACACAATGTGCTGAGAAAGGAAAAACGAAATTGAAAATGCACAAGAAAAAAAAAATGATAATGAACGTAACATATTTTAAGTTCAATTTTTTGTAGCGATGTGTTTTGGTGTTGCTGCTTTTTTTTGTCGTCGTTTATGATTGTGCAGTGTGCACATTTAATACAAAAGCGAGATCGTTACAATTTCTCTTTTCCAATGAGCTATTTTTACCGGATTTCAGCATACATTATACAACACGGGCGTTTTGTATCATGTTTCGTTCGTCGTTCGCATCAGAAATAATGATATAAATATCACAGCTGGCGAAAAGAAAGCAAATTAATTGTGTCATCATGAAATGCACCGGGAATATATTCTTTGTTGTATAAGTGCCATGTGCCTTGCCATCGAACTGTATTTCATGTGGAACAAAAACCATTGCGGCCAAAATGTCCCAAATTTGGGAAGCGAAAGAGAGCACGATAGAGAAAGGAGAGCGAGTTTGACAGCAAACGCTTCCTCTTATTCAAGTGGGCGTTCGAAGCGGAAACCTTATCGATTAATAAAGAGTTATACATGCATTTTGTAATTGCGATGGAAAGATAGTTCAGGCGTTATATCTCTGTGGCCGATTTTCAAAAATTCGCATGAAATTCAAGTCAGCACTCGCAAAATGGTTTGTACCTCACTCGATTCAATGTCAAAGCGATGAATATATGGCAACGACATGAAATTAATCGCTATTTTCACGTGAGCAAAAATCATGTGTATCGTCACTTTTATTCCACATTCAAAACGGCAAAAGCACATTTATTCCATTTTTATTTATTTAACCTAATTAAATCAATGAAACGGTGGACCGTTCTGTACCCATTGGCCGCTATATTAATAGATGTGTCACAGAAGTGAAAAGCATTTTCTATTGCAATAAAAATAACGTCTCGTTGGTTTTCATTCTCATCTCCAAAAATTAAGTTGTGGCCATATCTTTCTCTCTTTTATCATTATAGTTTCGTTTGTGCGGAATTGAACGCAAATATCACGCTTGTTCAATGTTTCGGTGGAAAAAAAATTCGTTTCACAATTTGAATGGCATAGAGAGAAAATGGGAGTGGAAATTTCATTGTGGTGGTTAGTGAAAATCATTCGTAATGCTTTCGATTGTTGGAGACCCATTGAATGTGCTGTGCATCTTTTTGATCTGGCTGTAATAATTTTGTGTGCTAGTTTATTTTTTCTGTTCATGTTGTCGTTGTTGCTTTCGTTGATGCTACCACTCGTAAAATTGTTCAACAAATCGCGTAGAATTCGGGATTCGCGCCACTCAATTATGGCTAGTATTTTACAGGTTCGGAATACAATTCAATTCGATGATTTGTTGTTGTCAAAGATGTGTTGTGTGTACCCTGGATGCTTGTGTGTGCGCTTTGTACTCCTTCTATCGCTCTCTCTCTCAGCATGAATGTGCCTATCCATCTATCTATCCAGTTTATAAACGCTATCGCATTTTCTATTTCAAAATTATTGTCACGTAAATAAGTATAACGAACGTGGGAAACATTAAAATGCGTTGATTTGGTCTGGCACCTGTTTTAATAGACTTAGTCGCATCACACTTGCCGCTTTTCAATGATAGCCACATTATTCTCTCTATTTAGATAGAAAATTGTGTGATCGTGTGAATTGTGCGCTTTCGACAACGACAGCCTCCAACGACGACGACGACAACAACAACGATGACGACGACGATGAGAACGAAGATGGTGCATGATGTTTGAGCTTTTGGCCTCGTCGTTGTCGATGAGTACAAATTGTTGTTTCACATGAGAGCTCATTTCATCATTACTAATCCGTTTGGAATATATAATGTGGCGTTTCAATATTTATTGGCAGGGGGATCGTGTGACATCCGCCATTGATAGAGGTGAAGTGTTGAAAAAGTCCACCACCGCCGATATTTTGCGATGTGAATCACCCTGCAAATTGCATGTGAGCTCCACTTATATACATGTGTGTCACACACACAGTGTGTGTGTGTGTGTGTATGAACTCGGATGTACTTCATTGCACTTCCATCGGACGGTAAATAATCGTAATTTGTTCAGTATTTTCGCTTTTGTTCGCTTTCATTACTGCTGCTGCTGCTGCTGCTGTTGTTTTTTTCTTTTTTTTCCTCCTCTTCTCTCATTTCACTTCGTTTCTTTTTGATTGACTTTTGCATTCGTGACCACTTTGGTAGATTGCTGATGTTGAGTTTGTAGCAATTCACTCGATTCCCCTGATTACGATCCGACATGTGCCATATTAAATCAAAACCATGCGGGCATAAAAAAAATTGGGCAATTGCAATGTATTTAATCAAATGAAATGTGGTGGAGAAAAAAACATGCACACATACAAACACAAATACATCTTAATGACTTGAAATTTAATTAATGATCGAGAACTAATTATTCGCCAATTTTTCAATTCTTACATTAAATTACCTATTTGGTTCTTTTTGCTGGTGTATAATTGAATACAACATGCTTTGGATTCTTTTTCTTTATTTTTTTTTTTTCTTTTCTCAATTAAAGAAAATTCGCACCAATGTGATGGCACTATATTCAAATGCTTCCGATTACTATTGGGCTTCGTTTGTTGATTTTATTTATTATTCACTCGTAAATTCGGCCGTGTGATGGTCTTGGTGTTTTTTTCTCTTCTTCTTCGTCAATTTTTCTTTACGTTTATCGGTGCGTTGTGTGCTGCCTGCTGCGTCCTAGCATATTTGACGAGAGCGGCCGTAATGAAAAGTGGGGGTTTGAGCTGAGCAAATTTATTAGTGGTGTATTACTGCAGCAGCATAAAAAATGGAACGCCATTTTCATGTTCCAGTCTAATTATCATACTTTATTTAAAAAAAAAAAAAAATCGACATTAACAAGAAGAGAAACGCCACATAATTACAGATAAAAACGTATACTGAACAATCAGTGTTAAATGTGCAGCGATGTGACTTTTTTTTCTACTCGCCCGTTTTATTTCACCCGACGATAGCGACGACGACAGTTAACAACCAATGATTAAACATAAAATAAAAAGCGGTGATGGCAGCAGTAACGTAAAAAAAAAAATGGAGAATGAAAAGTGCGGTATAGAAAACACCAACGCAATATATGTATAACAGAGGAAAATTCACACTGATTTCAAACTCAACCGAAAATACCTTTCAGAACTCACTACATGCACCATCTACGCATGTCTTGTATCATATAAAATATTTTAAAAAACTCAAATTAGTTTTCGGTAATTACTTAATTTGCCTAATTAAAAGCTAAAAATCAATTTTTCATATTGAAGTTTTGATTGAATTGAATCAATCCTAACACAAGTTCATAATTGCCTTAAAGTGATCAATTTTAATCGGAATCGAACGATTACATTGCAACAGTTTAAGTAATGGAAAATAAATTGGTAATCCATAAGAGTGCCGAAGAGCTGGCCTGTAAATGGCCTGCCTGAAAAATATACACCGACCAAAAAAAAAAAACTGCCAATAAATCAACTTTATTACAAAATGACAAATTCTTAATTACGTATTTGAGGCCTAAATGACAGCATGGCAGCCGCCTGTATTGTATATGTTTATTGCTGTACGATGTGGACACCGCAATGTCAGTACAGAAACCGTTTGCCTTTTTTTAACGTTGAAAATGAACACTCTCACACACACATACTCATGCCCATTTACCGATCACTCCGACAATTGCGAACAAGTTTCTTTGGTGTTCACGCCGCCTCTCGCATTATTATGTTGTTGTTTTTTTTTTTTAGTCTCTCGCCAGCTACTCAATATTATTATATTTTGTCCATTCATTTTATTCCAGATTTAATTACTGTAATTGATGGCTCGTGGTTTTATTTGATTCGACTGCGCCGGCAATCGTGAATTTGTAAAATAATAATAAAAATTAAATATTAAAAAAAAAAAAATGAATTAAATTGTCGAGAAGGAATATTCATACATGAGTTCGCGATAAAATATATGTTGAGTGTATTAATGTGATCAAACCGCAATACTGACCATAGCAATATAATGCATAAATGAAAATGAAAATTAAACGACAATACAGAGAGGAGGACCAAGTGAAATGAGTGTGGAACGGAAAAAAAAGGTGGAACATTACACA